TTTGGACCCCAATTTGGCTAGTCTGTCCGCCTCTTCATTTCCATTGATGTCTTGGTGTCTGGGGACCCACTCTATTGCTAGTGTGGATCCGTTTTGGGCTATTTTGGTAGCGGCTGCAATAGCGCGTAGCTGGTGAATTTGGCCCGGATTATCAGAAGGCCGCGCTAGCCTATAAATGGCGGCTTGGTTGTCTGCGTATATCTGAATGTCCCTATTTAGGCCTAGTCTCGTCGCATCTTCAAATGCTAGGGCAATGCCTTCTAGCTCTCTATTATAGACGATTTGGTGCGGTCCTATATTTCGGGCTAGTCGTATAAAAGGGCGACTAGCGCATTTGTAGCCCGCTAGTCCCACTCCAATTCCGGTGCTTTTAGGCATTTGCGACCCGTCTGAGTAGTATAACACCTGATTTGGCGATTGTGACCGTATTTGCCGGCGGTGTATCGTGGTAGTTTCCTCTTTTGGCAATTTAGCGATTCGTGTGTCCCAGGGGATAGAGCGGTCCTAAGGGGCAAAGTGGAAGTGGTGTATAGGTTCGATTTTGCCGCTAAGCAGGGGTGCGATAGTCCTGGCAATCGTCTGAAGTCCGTATTCTGAGTAGCTGGATTCGGCAATTTGGGCCTAATTTATATCGCATTAAAGTAATTTTAGTAAATTATTCCACTAAGGCTTAGCATATAGCACTAACTAGATTTAGGGTATAGTATTATATGCAGCGCATAAAATAGCACTAGTATAATATTCTGCTATATTATCTAGATGGTTAAGGGTTACTTTATAACTACGTTTTATATTTAATTTGTTTTAAGCTTTTTAAGCTTAAATTAGAGCTTAAAATATAGCTATAGGCCTATAGCTTATTTTAGAGTAGTAATAGCTAGCAGAAAAGTTTTTCCCTAAATTTAGTCTAATCTGCCTATTTTATATTAAAACAGGTAGTTTATAGATCTACTAGTCCTATTTAGGAACTATTAATAGTAAATATAATCCTAAAATAGTCTAAGCTTATATTATCTACTATAGCCTAGTTCTAAATATAATTAGCTATAGATTAATATACTAGTATAAAGTTAATATTTATTAGCCTAGCTATATATAGATAATAGAAGGTGCTAATACTAGGGGTATTTAAGAGGGCTAAATTATAGTAGTTAATCTAGTCTACTAGTATATTATCTTCTTTATTATATGCCTTATATAAGGGGTCCTACTATAAGTTATAGGTATTAAAGTCCCTATAAAAGACTAAATTAAGAGGCGGTAAGAGCTGCTATAGGCACCTAGCTAGCATATAGGTGTCTAAATTAGGTAATTAGTGCTTTTTATTATAAATATTATAAATCTTAATTATATAATCTTAATCTATAATATCTAGGACTTAGAAGTCTAAGTTATTTAGTGAATCCAAGGCTAGAATAACCCTAGGGCGGTATAACCTAGTAATATAAGCTATTATGCATAGTGTGATATCTAGGCTAGGCCTATTTAGAAAGAGTTAGGTGAATAAGGAGTAGGAAATCGATTATATTCCATCTAAATCATATATAATAAAGGGCTCTTAAACTAGTATAATATCTATATCTAGCTTAATTACTACTTATAGCGCGGATTCTATATTATAAGCAGCTAAATTCAGATTTACTTAGAGGATTTTAGTGCTAGTATCTATTATAGAGAGGATATAGGAGCCTTTAAGTGGATGCTCTAATAGACTTTATATAAAGCAGAGCTAGCTATATATAGACCTCTATAATTAGCGCATTTATATATTAGGTAATTATATCTACTCTTAGTATTATATATAGAGCATATATATTATTTTATCTAATAGGCTTTACTATATAGCTAGCACTTAGCCTCTTTATAGTAGTAGTGCTCTAAATAGCTATAGCCCTAGCACCTAATATATTAGGTAGTAGGATATATTATATAGTGTTTTTTATATTATATAGAAATGCTAGCTATATATAGCCTATTTCAGATAGCTGCGCTAGCCTCTTTAGGCGTAGCAAATATAATTGCTATAGATCTAGCTATTTATTTTAGGTGATTTTTAGCTAATATAATCTAGTATAGCTATCCTAAAGGGGTTAGACCCTTATTAAAAGTCTATATTTTATCCTTAACTAGCTCTATGCCTTCTAGATAGTTAAAAATAGAAGTAGGGATCTTATAGGTAATAATTTTATACTATATAATATCTTTCTAGGTAGTATAGCCTAGTATTAAATATATCTAGATATTAGATTTAGCAAGTAGGAAGTCAGCTAAGTAAGCCTCTATAGTTATAACTACTAGATTAGCCTAAAGGGACTTAGATACTAAAAGTACTATAAAGTCTTTTACTCCTTTACTAGCAAAAGCTCTATTTAGAGCATTACAGGTAGTAAGAGGCTAAAAATTATTATTTTAGACTATAGTATCCTTAATTAGGATCACACGGCGGCTAGTAAGAGGCTTCTTTATAGCTAGCTTTAGCAGTAAGGACTTAACCTTTTCCGATTTCACGAATTCACTTATAACTTTTGCTACAACTATCTAAATTAAACAATTGCACTAGCATATTAACTGCCTTAATCTCAGCTTTCTTTTAAGCCTACCCTTATAGTTCTCACTAGGAAAATAAGTAAATGCGGGTCATCTAAAGGGTTTTCCACCTTAAAGGCCTCCTAACTGCCTCCCTCCCTCTCCTCCTCCCCCTCTACCCTCCCACCCCTACGGTCTATAGCAGCAGAAGATAACAATATAGTAATAGATACTATATATAATGCATTATTCAGTACAGATAAGCTAGAAGGCCTGGCATAGGATAGCGACTAGCTAAAAGTCGTATTAGACGCGTCTGTTTTTATATATATAGCCCCTTCTACTAGCTATAGCTACTAATATATTAATAAATAACAAAACGGTCACTATAGCGACGCTTTTACTTTTACTATAAAGAAGAGACTAGCTATACCGCTTCCTAATCCAGCTAAAAATCTAAGGTTTACTATAGATTCACCTTTAAATAAAGCTATTATAAAGGCATGTAACCTCCTAGTTAAAGCCGCAGCTGCTAAACTAGACTGCCTAAAATAGGACTAAATACTTGATTTAATTAAAATCTTCTGCAAATACCTTAAAAAAGGCTCCATTAAGAAGGTTTCAGCTATTCTAGCTAATAAGATCACGCATATAGAATCCGCTAGTCAAAAGCTAGAAGCCACCGCCCGGCAAATTGCCCCGAAACCGACTACCCGCCTGCAAGTCAACCCGAAAGGGCCTAGCGCAGCTATCTCAGACCGCTTAAACAGGCTGAAAATCGCTCCCTAGCTGAAAACCACTTAAAATCAGATATATGCAGCTGCAGCTGAGTCCGCTAACCCTAATTTGGACTGGATTTTAGTTAATTCTGCCAAAAAGTCCTCACCGCTAAAGCTAGCTACAAAGAAGCCTCTTAGCAGCCGCCGCGTGATCCTAATTAAGGATACTATAGCCTAAAATAACGATTTTCAGCCTCTCACCGCCTGAAATGCTCTAAATAGAGCTTTTACTAGCAAAGGAGTAAAAGACCCTATAGTGCTTTCAGTGTCTAAGTCCCTTTAGGCCAATCTAGTGGTCACAACTATAGAGGCTTACTCAGCTGACTTCCTACTTGCTAAATCCGACATCTGAATGCATTTAATACCAGGCTACACCGCTTAGAAAGATGTCACATGGCATAAAATCATCGCCCACAGGATCCCCACTTCTATTTTCAACTATCCGGAAGGCATGGAGCTAGTTAAGGACGAAATACGGACTTTTAATAAGGGTCTAACCCCTTTAGGACAGCCATACTGGATTACATCAGCCGAAAATCGCCTAAAACAGATAGCTGGATCCGTGGCAATTGCATTTGCTACGCCTAAAGAGGCTAGCGCAGCCGTCCGAAATAGGCTATATATAGCTGGCATTTCCATACAATGCAAAAAACACTATATAACACGTCCCACCGCCTAATGCACTAGGTGTTAAGCCTATAGACACTTAGAGCACTACTGCTGCAAAGAGGCTAAGTGCCAGCTATGCAGGGAAAAACATTAGATGAAATAGCATACATGCACTATATGCAATGCTAAGGGTAGGTGTAATCACCTAACATATAAATGCGCTAATTGTGGAGGTCTATATGCGGCTAGCTCCGCTCTATGTGAAGTCTATTAGAGCATCCACTTAAAGGCTCCCACGTCCTCTCTATAATAGACGCTAGCACTAAAATCCTCCAAGTGAATCTAAATTCAGCTGCCTATAATACGGAATCCGCGCTACAAGTAGCAATTAAGCTAGATATAGATATTATACTAGTTTAAGAGCCCCTTATTATATGCGATTCAGACGGAATACGATCGATTTCCCACCTCTTATTCACCTAACTCTTCCTAAATAGGCCTAGCCTAGATATTACACCACGCATAATAGCTTATATTGCTAGGTCATACCGCCCTAGGGTCGTCCTAGCCTCAGATTCGCTAAACGACTCAGACTTCCAAGTCCTAGACGTTATAGATTAAGATTACATAATTAAGATTTATAATATTTACAATAAAAAGCACCAATTACCCAATTCAGACACCCATACGCTAGCTAGGTGCCTATAGCAGCTCTTACCGCCCCTCGATTCGGTCTTTTGCGGGGACTTTAATGCCTATAACCCGTAGTGGGACCCCCTATACGAGGCATGTGATAAAGAAGGCAATATGCTAGCAGACTGGATCAACTACTACGATTTAGCCCTCTTAAATACCCCTAGTATTAGCACCTTCTATTGTCTGCATATGGCTAGGCCGATAAATATCAACCTTATACTAGCGCATTAATCTATAGCCAATCACATTCAGGACTGGGCTATAGTGGATGATATAGGCTCGGACTATTTTAGGATCACATTCACTATCAACAGTTCCTGAATAGGACTAGCGGATCCATAAACCACCCGTTTCGACATAAAACGGGCAGATTAGACCAAATTTGGGGAAAAACTTTTCTGCCAGCTTTCACCGCTCCAAAATGAGCTACAGGCCTATAGCTACATTTTAAGCTCCAATTCAAGCTTAAAAAGCTTAGAACAAATCAATGTAAAACGTAGTTACGAAGCAACCCTTAACCGTCTGGACGATATAGCGGAACGTTATACTAGCGCCATTTTATACGCTGCACACGATGCCATACCCCAAATCCGGTTAGCGCCACACGCTAAGCCTTGGTGGAACGATTCACTAAAATCACTTCGACGCGACATAAATCGGGCTAGAGAGGCCTCTAAGCGAGCGTTTTCCAGCTAATTAAATAAGCGCTATACTAGCGCCCGCAATATATACTTCCAGGCTATTAAAACAGCGAAAAAGGATCACTGGAACCAGTTCTTAGAGAAAGAGGATTCTAAATCGATTTTCAAAGCCCTAGCCTATATGAAGTTAAGGCGGTTAGAGCTAGTCCTAAATCTGAAGCTTTCTGCCACCTAATTTGCAACTATATTTACTGCTAAATGCGACCTCTTCCGCTAGACGCTCTTCCCTCCACCTCCTAAAACAGCTAGCCCGAATTGGACGTTATATACCGCCTCAGAGCAGTGGCAGTGGCCAAAGCTAGCACTAGATGAAGTGAAGTAAGCCTGTTCTAGTGAAATCAAATCCACTAGCCCCGGCCCGGACTATATTACCCAGACCATTATTACCCACGTATATTCAGCATGCCCTTCCTAGCTTTCACTCCTTTTTGAGACGCTAGTAAACACTGGCTATTATCCGAAGTGCTAGCGCTAAGCGAATTGCGCTATACTACGAAAAAACAATAAGCCAGACTATAAACAGCCTAGCGCGTATCAGCCGATTTCACTTCTAAATTGCCTAGGTAAAGTGAGCGAAAGGATCCTAGCTAAGCGACTAGCTTACTTAGCTGAAACCACACTAAATCTGCTGCATCCTAGCTAAATCGGTGGCCGACTTAAAAAGTCGGCTATAGACGCAGGCGCTATGCTAGCGGATTATGTCTATATAAATCAGCTACGAAATAAAATTACTAGTACGCTTCTACTAGACGTGAAAGGGGCATATAACCACATGTCTAAGAACCGGCTACTTATAATTCTTAAGGATTTAGCCTTTCCCAATTCGGTTATTAAATGGGTCTTATCCTTTATAAGCAGGCGGTCACTTAAGCTTCTATTTAACGGATAATCGGACGAAAACCAGCCTATTTAGACCGGAATCCTATAAGGAAGTCCGATTTCGCCTATCCTTTTTCTAATCTATATATAGGGCCTATTTAGGTCACATGCAGTCAAATTTATCTCTTATATAGATAATATTACTCTCTCTTATGTATTAACTAGCCCCTACAAAAACGTTAAGATACTGCAGCTAGTAGCTAAAGAGCTATTTTAGCTAGCTAGTAAAAACGCAATCTAATTTAACCTGAAAAAGTCTAAACTAATTCACTTTAGCATAGGCGAATGCGCTAAGCTAGCGTCCCTTATACTCCTAGATGGGACTATAGTCCCCCTAAAGCAGATAGTTAAGTGGCTTGGCATTTACTTTAATGCTCTATTACAATTTAAGGAGCATATTACTATCCGCACTACTAAGGCTAAGTCCGCATTTAGATGTATATCTAGGCTGGCTAATAGCAAATGAGGGCTTAGTCCTACTGCTTTTAGATAGCTATACCTGGCTTGTATTACTAGCATATCCAACTATATATTACCAATTTAGTGGCAAGGCTAAGCATACGCAAAAGACCACCTATAGCACCTCTAAAATTTGGCACTACGCAAAATCCTAGGCACTTTTCGGACTAGTCCAATTCAGGCCATGGAAGTCGAAGCTAGCCTCCCACCGCCTGCAATATAACTAGATACAGCCACCCGCAAATACGCTTTTAGGCTAGCTAAGCTAAGTCTAGACCATCTAGTGAATCGCTAAATTGCTAAATCCAGCTACTTAGGATATGGACTTTAGATGATTGCTAGGACTATCGCACCCCTACTTAGTAGCAAAATCGAACCTATATACCACTTCCACTTTGCCTCTTAGGACCGCTCTATCCCCTGGGACACACGAATTGCTAAATTGCTAAAAGAGGAAACTGCTATGATACACCGCTAGCAAATATAGTTATAATTACCAAATTAGGTGTTATACTACTTAGATGGGTTGCAAATGCCTAAAAGCACTGGAATTAGAGTGGGACTAGCGGGCTATAAATGCGCTAGTCGCCCTTTTATACGACTAGCCCGAAATATAGGACTGCACTAAATCGTCTATAATGGAGAGCTAGAAGGTATTGCCCTAGCATTTAAAGATGCGACGAGACTAGGCCTAAATAGGGATATTCGGATATATGCAGACAACTAAGCCGCTATTTATAGGCTAGCGCGGCCTTCTAATAATCCGGGCCAAATTCACTAGCTACGCGCTATTGCAGCCGCTACTAAAATAGCCTAAAACGGATCCATGCTAGCAATAGAGTGAGTCCCCGGATACTAAGATATTAATAGAAATAAAGAGGCGGATAGACTAGCTAAATTGGGGTCCAAATCACTTCCAACCACCTAGACCGCCCTGGCTGCCCATATAAGCTATGCCTATATAGGCATAAAAATCAACTAAATATAATAGCATGCGTGGGCGAATGCTCTAGCTAGCGGCAAAGGCTACTACTTTAACTTTTTTAACCCACGAATTCACTCTTAAATACAGCTTCCCAAAACGGCTAGATCCACTGCTAGCGCCTTTTTCCAGCTTAAGCTACGACACGGCTACTTTAGGATATACCTAAAACGATTCAATAAAACACCCACTAATTACTACATATGCAGTTACAAGCCTGAATCACTACAGCATCTTATACTATAATGCCCCGAATACAGTGAAGAACGCAAAAGACTAAAAGACAGTGTCCCATTTAGGCTTAGCCTACGCTCCCTCTTTAAGACGAAAATCGGACGCCAGCATCTACTAACCTTCTTGGGTGAAACGGGTATCAGTACCCGCAAATGGCGGCTTGAACGGGCAGAATTTAATGATGACTAAGCAATACACTACTTAGAAGTCTCACCGCCTACCTCCACTGGCCGAATCCATCGATTTTTCCCAATTTTGGCTCAGAATGCATAAGAGCGCAATTGCAGCATAAGAAACGGCTATGCTAGCTGACCGCCTCCGCTTTCTGCCACTTTTTGATTCACTTTTTAACCACTTTTTATTTTGTTAGTTACGCGATTTTTAGGGCTTTGGGGGACTTTAGTATAGCGTTTTTGCTTTATGGACCTAGTCCGCATTAGGCTTAGTCCCACAGATTCCAACCGGAAACATATTGACATATCTCTTGAATGTATCACTAGCCCGCGCTAGCATTAGGCTAGCGCCGTCCTACATAGTCTTAGACTCACACAGGACGTTAATGGAATAAATAAATAAATAAATAATAAATAAAGAGCTTTTTTAGCTAGCTAGTAAAAACATAATCTAATTTAACCTAAAAAAGTCTAAACTAATTCACTTTAGCACAGGCGAACGCGCTAAGCTAGCGTCCCTTATACTCCTAGATAGGACTATAGTCCCCCTAAAGCAGATAGTTAAGTGGCTTGGCATTCACTTTAACGCTCTATTATGATTTAAGGAGCATATTACTATCTGCACCGCTAAGGCTAAGTCCGCATTTAGACGTATATCCAGGCTAGCTAATAGCAAATAAGGGCTTAGTTCTACTGCTTTTAGATAGCTATACCTAGCTTATATTACTAGCATATCTAACTATATATTACTAATTTAGTAGTAAGGCTAAGCATATATAAAAGACTACCTATAGCACCTCTAAAATTTAGTACTACGTAAAATCCTAGGCACTTTTCGGACTAGTCCAATTTAGGCTATAGAGGTGGAAGATAGCCTCCTACTACCTGTAATATAGCTAGATATAGCTATATATAAATACGCTTTTTAGCTAGCTAAGCTAAGTCTAGATTATCTAGTAAATTGCTAAATTGCTAAATCCAGCTACTTAGGATACGGACTTTAGATAATTGCTAGGACTATTACACCTCTGCTTAGCGGCAAAATTAAACCTATATACCACTTCCACTTTACCTCTTAGGACTGCTCTATCCCCTAGGATATACAAATTACTAAATTGCTAAAAAAGGAAACTGCCACGATACACCACCAGCAAATATAGTTATAATTGCTAAATTAGGTGTTATACTACTTAGATGGGTTGCAAATGCCTAAAAGCACTAGAATTAGAGTAGGACTAGCGGGCTATAAATGCGCTAGTTGCCCTTTTATATGACTAGCCTAAAATATAGGTCTGCACTAAATTATCTATAATAGAGAGCTAGAAGGCATTGCCCTAGCATTTAAAGATGCAATAAGACTAGGCCTAAATAGAGATATTCGGATATATATAGATAACTAAGTAGCTATTTATAGGCTAGCGCGGCCTTCTAATAATCCGGGCTAAATTTACTAGCTACGCGCTATTATAGCTACTACTAAAATAGCCTAAAACGGATCCATGCTAGCAATAGAGTGGGTCTCTAAATACTAAGATATTAATAGAAATGAAGAGGCGGATAGACTAGCTAAATTAGGGTCTAAATCACTTCTAACCACCTAGACCGCCCTGGCTGCCTATATAAGCTATGCCTATATAGGTATAAAAATTAATTAAATATAATAGTATATATAGGCAAATGCTCTAGCTAGTAGTAAAGGCTACTACTTTAACTTTTTTAACTCACGAATTCACTCTTAAATATAGCTTCCTAAAACGGCTAGATCTACTGCTAGCGCCTTTTACTAGCTTAAGCTATAACACGGCTACTTTAGGATATACCTAAAATGATTCGATAAAACACCCACTAATTACTATATATATAGTTATAAGCCTGAATCACTATAGCATCTTATACTATAATGCCCTAAATATAGTAAAGAACGCAAAAGACTAAAAGATAATATCCTGTTTAGGCTTAGCCTATACTCCCTCTTTAAGACAAAAATTAGATGCTAGCATCTACTAACCTTTTTAGGTGAAACGGGTATTAGTACCTGCAAATAGCAGCTTAAATAGGCAGAATTTGATAATAACTAAGTAATATACTACTTAGAAGTCTTACGGCCTACCTCTACTAGCTGAATCTATTAATTTTTCCTAATTTTAGCTTAGAATGCATAAGAGCGTAATTGCAGTATAAGAAACAGCTATGCTAGCTAACTGCCTTTACTTTCTGCTACTTCTTAATTTACTTTTTATTTATTAGTTATACGCTTTTAGGGCTCTAGGGGATTTTTTATTGTTATTATAGCATTATTGCTTTATAGACCTAGTCCGCATTAGGCTTAGTCCTACAGATTCCAACCGGAAATATATTGATATATCTCTTAACTATACCACTAGCCTGCGCTAGCATTAGGCTAGCGCCGTCCTACATAGTCTTAGACTTACATAGGACGTTAATGGAATAAATAATAATAATAAATAACAGTAGTAGTGCTCTAAATAGCTATAGCCCTAGCACCTAATATATTAGGCAGTGGGACGTGTTATATAGTGTTTTTCGTATTATATATTTATTTATTTATTCCATTAACGTCCTGTGTGAGTCTAAGACTATGTAGGACGGCGCTAGCCTAATGCTAGCGCGGGCTAGTGATACAGTCAAGAGATATGTCAATATGTTTCCGGTTGGAATCTGTGGGACTAAGCCTAATGCGGACTAGGTCCACAAAGCAATAACGCCATAATAATAAAAATCCCCCAGGGCCCCAAAAACGCATAACTAACAAATAAAAAGTGAATTAAAAAGTGGCAGAGAGCGAAGGCGGTTAGCTAGTATAGCCGTTTCTTATGCTGCAATCGCGCTCTTATGCATTCTAAGCCAAAATTGGGAAAAATCGATAGATTTAGTCGGTGGGAGTAGGCGGTGAGACTTCTAAGCCGTATACCGTAGTATATGCTTAGTCATCATTAAATTCTGCCCGTTTAAGCCGCCATTTGCGGGTACTAATACCCGTTTCACCTAAGAAGGTTAGTAGATGCTGGCGTCCGATTTTCGTCTTAAAGAGGGAGCGTAGGCTAAGCCTAAATAGGACACTGTCTTTCAGTCTTTTGCGTTCTTTACTGTATTCGGGGCATTATAGTATAAGATGCTATAGTGATTCAGGCTTGTGACTACATATATAGTAATTAGTAGGTGTTTTATTAAATTGTTTTAGGTACGTCCTAAAGTAGCCGTATTATAGCTTAAGCTAGAAAAAGGCGCTAGCAGTAGATCTAGCCGTTTTAGGAAGCTGTATTTAAGAGTAAATTCGTGGGTTAAAAAAGTTAAAGTAGTAGCCTTTGCTGCTAGCTAGAGCATTCGCCCACGCATGCCGTTGGATTTAGTTAATTTTTATGCCTATATAGGCATAGCTTATATAGGCAGCCAGGGCGGTCTGGGTGGTTAGAAGTGATTTGGACCCTAATTTAGCCAGTTTGTCCGCCTCTTTATTTCTATTAATATCTTGGTGTCCAGGGACCCACTCTATTGCTAGCGTGGATCCGTTTTAGGCTATTTTAGTGGCGGCTATAATAGCGCGTAACTAGTAAATTTGGCCCGGATTATTAGAAGGCCGCGCTAGCCTATAAATAGCTACTTAGTTATCTACATATATCCGAATATCTCTATTTAGGCCTAGTCTTATCGCATCTTCAAATGCTAGAGCAATGCCTTCTAGCTCTCTATTATAGATAATTTAGTGCAGACCTATATTTTAGGCTAGTCATATAAAAGGGCAACTAGCGCATTTATAGCCTGCTAGTCCCACTCCAATTCTAGTGCTTTTAGGCATTTGCGACCCGTCTAAGTAGTATAACACCTAATTTAGCAATTATAACTATATTTGCTAGTAGTATATCATAGCAGTTTCCTCTTTTAGCAATTTAGCAATTCGTGTGTCCTAGGGGATAGAGCGGTCCTAAGGGGCAAAGTAGAAGTGGTATATAGGTTCGATTTTACCACTAAGCAGAGGTGTAATAGTCCTAGTAATCATCTAAAGTCCATATCCTAAGTAGCTAGATTTAGCAATTTAGCGATTCACTAGATAGTCTAGACTTAGCTTAGCTAGCCTAAAAGCGTATTTGCAGGTAGCTATATCTAGTCGTATTATAGGTAGTGGGAGGCTAGCTTTAACTTCTATGGCCTAAATTAGACTAGTCCGAAAAGTGCCTAGGATTTTGCGTAGTACTAAATTTTAGAGGTGCTATAGGTAGTCTTTTATATATACTTAGCCTTGCCACTAAATTAGTAATATATAGTTAGATATGCTAGTAATATAAGCTAGGTATAGCTATCTAAAAGTAGTAGGACTAAGCCCTTATTTACTATTAGCTAGCCTGGACATATATCTAAATGCGGACTTAGCCTTAGCGGTGCAGATAGTAATATGCTCCTTAAATTATAATAGAGCGTTAAAGTAAATGCCAAGCCACTTAACTATCTACTTTAGGGGGACTATAGTCCCATCTAGGAGTATAAGGAGCACTAGCTTAGCGCGTTCGCCTATGCTAAAGTAAATTAGTTTAGACTTTTTCAGGTCAAATTAGATTACGTTTTTACTAGCTAGCTAAAATAGCTCTTTAGCTACTAGCTGCAGTATCTTAACGTTTTTGCAGAGGCTAGTTAATATATAAGAGAGAGTAATATTATTTATATAAGAGATAAATTTAACTGCACGTGACCTAAATAGGCCCTATATATAGATTAGAAAAAGGATAGGCGAAATCGGACTTCCTTATAGGATTCCGGTCTAAATAGGCTGGTTTTTATCCAATTATCCGTTAAATAGAAGCTTAAGTGACCGCCCGCTTATAAAAGATAAGACCCACTTAATAACCGAATCGGGAAAGGCTAAATTCTTAAGAATCGTAAGTAGCCGGTTCTTGGACACGTGGTTGTATGCCCCTTTTACGTCTAGTAGAAGCGTACTAGTGATTTTGTTTTGTAACTTTTGTATTATATAGAAATGCTAGCTATATATAGCCTATTTCAGACAGCTGCGCTAGCCTCTTTAGGCGTAGCAAATGCAATTGCCACGGATCTAGCTATCTGTTTTAGGCGATTTTTAGCTAATGTGATCTAGTATAGCTATTCTAAAGGGGTTAGACCCTTATTAAAAGTCTATATTTCGTTCTTAACTAGCTCTATGCCTTCTAGATAGTTGAAAATAGAGGTGGGGATCCTATAGGCAATAATTTTATGCTATGTGATATCTTTCTAGGTAGTATAGCCTAGTATTAAATGCATCTAGATATCAGATTTAGCAAGTAGAAAGTTAGCTAAGTAAGCCTCTATAGTTATAACTACTAGATTAGCTTAAAGGGACTTAGATACTAAAAGCACTATAGAGTCTTTTACTTCTTTGCTAGTAAAAGCTCTATTTAGAGTATTATAGGTAGTAAGAGGCTAAAAATTATTATTTTAGACTATAGTATCCTTAATTAGAATTATATAGTAGCTGGTAAGAAGCTTCTTTATAGCTAGCTTTAGTAGTAAGGACTTTTTAGTAGAATTAACTAAAATCTAGTTCGAATTAGAGTTAGCAGACTTAGCTATAGCTGCATATATCTAATTTTAAGTGGTTTTCAGCTAGGGAGCGATTTTCAGCCTATTTAGGTGATCTGAGACAGCTGCGCTAGGCCCTTTCAGGTTAACTTATAGGCGGGTAGTCGGTTTTAGAGCAATTTGCTAGATGGTGGCTTCTAGCTTTTAACTAGCGGATTTTATATATATAATCTTATTAGCTAAAATAGCTAAAACCTTCTTAATAGAGCCTTTTTTAAGGTATTTGCAGAAGATTTTAATTAAATTAAGTATTTAGTCCTATTTAGGCAGTCTGGTTTAGCAGCTGCGGCTTTAACTAGGAGGTTATATACTTCTGTAATAGCTTTATTTAAAGGTAAATCTATAGTAAACCTTAGATTTTTAGCTGGATTAGGAAGTAGTATAGCTAGCCTCTTCTTTATAGTAAAGGTAAAAGCGTTGCTATAGTGACTATTTTATTATTTATTAATATATTAGTAGCTATAGCTAGTAGAAGAAGCTATATATATAAAAATAGATGCAATACGACTTTTAGCTAGTTGCCGTCCTATGCTAGGCCTTCTAGTTTGTCTATACTAAATAATACATTATATATAATATCTATCACTATATTATTATCTTCTGCCGCTATAGACCGCAGGGGTAGGAGGGCGAGGGGTAAGAAGGAGAGGGAGGGAGGCGGTTAGAAGGCCTTTAGAGTTAAAAACCCTTCAGATGACCTGCATTTACTTATTTTCCTAGTGAGAACTATAAGGGTAGGCTTAAAAGAAAGCTAAGATTAAAGCGGTTAATATGCTAGCGCGATCGTTCGATTTAGACAGTTGTAGCAAAAGTTATAAGTGAATTCGTAAATGAGTCCTATAGATGTCTATAGAGCAGAACTAGATAGTATAGGTAATATAAGCTATTTAAGGACTAATTAGTTAATAATATTTTTTAATTAGAGTCTAATAAATATATATAAATTCTTATAGTTTTTATGCTTATAGGCGCACTTAGTATAGAAATAGGATTATATCATAGAGCAAATGCTAAGTATGTAGAGCAAAAGCCTGAATTTAATATAAGAAGAATTAACTAAAGAGAGAAAAGAAGCTTCTCTTATATAGATAGATATAAGAGTTTTCTAGCCTCTAAAGAGAGCTAGAGGAAGTAAAATTATAGATCTATTATATTTATATTATATATATAAAGGCATATATAAAGGCACTATATGCTAAGCTATAATATTAGGTGTAACCTATTATATTACCCCTCTTCTTACTTTAGACTAAGAGTTAGTTTAAGAGGATAGGTTTTTTAAGGCAAGTTTTATATAAATAAGTTATTTAAAAATAAGTTAAGTAGATAGGTTTACTTTTTACTTTTAGGCCTCCTCTATATTCTTTTCTTCCTAGTTATCTAGTGCCTTATAGTTACCTACTATATCTGCTAGCTCCTATATTAGTCTTATATAGCCTATCTATTTAACTAGAAACTTCTTTTACTAGCTATAGCTATATTATATAACTTTCTCTTATAGGATCTTTTTAACTTTATATTCTTTATTATTTCTAACTATTTATAAGAGAGGTTATAAATTATCTTATATCTAGCTAAAGAGCAGATTATTACCTATAAGCTATAGTAGTTTACTATAGAATATATTATAGATTCCTAGAGGTATATCTAACTAGTAACTATATAAACTAACCTCTTAGAGAACTATAAACTTAGTATACTTAGCATTTAGCTTTTTAGTTAGTTAATTTATATAAATATTCTTTAGGTTTAGCTATATTTTATTACTAACTTTAAAACTTAATAATTACTAATATCTTTAGTTTATAACTTCTTATATAACTTGCTAGGTACTAGCTATAGCTGCTTATATCTATTCTCTAGTATTATAAAGCTTTTATATAATTATATCTACTTTTTAGATTAGGGATTTATATATATTAAGTAGAGTTAATATTATTTATAGGTTAAGTAGTTAGATATAATAACTATGCTATAAGAAAAAGGAGCTAATTCTAATTAATACTATATCTTTATTATTAATTGCTACTTCTATTAATAGTAGTATTTTATACTAATTATTTTAGATGTAATTAATAAATATATAGAGATAAGTCTCTACTTCTTAATTTATTTTTTCTATAGCTCTATCTATTTCTAGGTAAAAAGCTATAGAAAGGCGTTATACTATACCTAGTAGTTAGTATATTCTTATCTATAGTTAGCTTATAAACTAAGAGCTCTAATCTAATACTATTACTCTTAG